TTTAGGTTCCTCCGTGTGCATCAGCTGAGCCCAGCAGGCGGCAAAGCAAGAGGTGGATGTTATTTCAGGAAAAGCCTGGCCCCTTGGGCTTGAGACAGAGCAGCATCCCAGGCTGCAGTCCCCTGGCTCTTGTTGCACGTAGGGAATTTGGGCAGAAAAAGGAATCCCAGCCATGCAGCTTTTCTCACCTAGGTTTTGCAGAGCAGGTGTACCAAAGGCAGCTCAATTCTACTGGGACAGGTCACAAGGTACTGCATGCTCTGGTATTTCCCACTTCTCTGGCGCTGTACATTAAAACAGGAGACCAAAGAGCATTTCTGTGGCATAATGTAGGAGACTGATGGTATATGACGGTGCTGGAGGCCCTGCTGCTCGTGGGAGCGGGGTGTATGCCACGTGGGAGAAGTAGCGGTGCCCTGTGGTTGTGCTAGGTGGCATGGGCTGAACAGCAGCAAAAGGCTCCTTCCAGCCGCAGGCATGCTGCAGTGCTCTCTGGAAACCACAGCTGAAATCACAGTCACATTGATGTCAACACCAAAAAGGAAAAACAAACAGCAAAGCAATGTGACAGACTCAGCACAATATTTCTCTTAACTTACTGATCAACACTTCATGCAAGTTTTAGGTGTTTCTAGCTTACTGAAAGTCCAATTCTACTCTCAAAACATCATGTCAGCATGAAAAGTAGGAGTGTATCACATGCAGTGAGCTGCTTAGACTTTTCATTTTTTCCAAATGTACATATTTTGGCCACAGCTCTTTGCTGAATTTAGCACAGATGCAGGTTTGGTCAGCCTGAACTTGCATCTTTCAGTGCATAAAACATTCATTGCACTTTTTTTTTTACCTGGCTGTAGCCACGATGTTGTGTGAAGTGCTGTTTCACTATACCTGAGTACGTAGGGCACATCTGTTCTTTGGAATCTGAGAAACTCTGAGGTAGGTCACCTTTACCTCTAAAACCAGTGCTCATTTGCACTTTGTAAAGCACATTTCCTCCTTAGTCACGCAGGATTTTTGCTTCTTTCAAAGTATTTCTTTTGTAGCAGATTTTTATGCAGATTTTTATGCAATAACTTATTACTAGGTTGTTTTCTACTGATGCGGAGAAATCTTTCATGCAATTTGCATCCCATTAACAGCTTCATAAGAGATGATCCTGATTCTAATAGCTCTGCACAATAAGCCAGTAAAGCCGAGTATGGAAGGGATTATGAAGTGTATTGCTGTTATACCCGCAAAATGGCTCATTCTTTCGAAACAGAGGCATTGACTCCTCTGACACCAAAGGTTAGTCCTAAGAGTTACAACTGTCTGGTATTTTTTCAGCAGTGCTGTGACTGCTTTTTATATCCTGTTTGTTTTGGTTTTTTTTTTGCCCTGTCCATTTTCTTGTGCTAGCAGCAGTGACCACAAAACCAAAGTAGAGCCCCAGTCCTCAGGGACTGATGCCTCACAGGTGGGTGTCAGATGCAGCCTTCCAGCTGCAAAACACTGCTGGATTCCAACACTGTGATAAAACCAGTGTTACATCATTTCTGTGGCGATGGAACAACAACAGAACCTGCCTTGGGACAGGTACGTGCACTAGCCATTACCTGTCACAAACACCTTCCTGGAGGCATTTTACACCATATACTACAAGTTTCCACCACCTATAGGACAGGCCAGGAGTCTTTGCTGAGGCTTACAGAGATGCTTTGATGCTGCGTGGGCTGGTGGGGTACCAGCCGTGGAAAGTACCAGCCATGGAAATGAGTAACTCTCTCCCTGGTGTCAGTCTCAATCCGCTGTCCCAGAGTTTTCCTACAGTTTCATAAACCAAGGATTTGAAGTGAAGGGCAGACATTAGAAGCTGGCCTCCTGCTCTGAAGAGAGATGGAGGGGAGTGCTTGTGTGGGAAAACTCGTCACTGCAGGAGACCCTGTGTGTTACATCAGTCATGCACAGTGCCTGTGTGTAAGACAGACATAGAGGCTTCATGGCAGTGGTGGCCAAAGTAGCACTCGTGTTGGGGTCACCAGCATTTGCTTATGGGGCATCCCCTATCTGTCTTGGCTGGAAAGCCAGTATGAGCCACCATGGCCACCACAGGCTACTGCTGCTCCCCACACTCACTTGAGCTGTGCCAAAGCAGCCACGTGGTACATAAAGAATGTGACAGACCGGGAAAGCAGCAGCTGGAGGCACTACTGAGAGGTGGTAAGGTTTCTGCTTCTGTCCCTCAGCAAGCACAGGCGTATGCTTATGCTGATACTTCTGTTTCTTGCCAGAGTTAGAAAATTATAGCTGTGGTGGATGAGATGGTGGGGGAGTTGGGCAGTCTGGTGTGGTGGGAAGCTGGCTTGGAGGAGAGAAGGGGGCTGGTGGGACAGGGAACAGTAGGGACCCAGAGCACGGAGGGACCTGCCTAGGGCTCGCTTTTCCTTCCAACGACCAGATCCATCCTTGCCTGCTCCTGCTTCTTCTGGGAACAGCACTGGGGTCACTCAGCCATCTGGTTCCCTCGTGCCCTCTCTTTTCCTGTAGTTCACAGCCTGACATTCCCACACATGAAGTAACAGTCCAGGCTCCTGGGAAATACATGAGAGGGCTCTTTCTTGAACTGTGGCAGTGCCCAGACCACACTCCTTCCTAGCGTACATGTAATGTTGTATGTGTTGTTAACTAGCTCGGTTGCCTAACAGAGAGTTTCCTCCATCTGCAACAAACAGCATATTTTTTTACCTTCTTTGGTCACATTCATACGTACTCCTTTTCTATTTCAATTGCTCAGCCATTATAGGGCTTCAGTGCATTTGAACCACTTGAGTAGTTTCATATGATCTTTGACTTCATGGTCATCAGTGTTGTCATTATGCCTCCATTTGATTTGGAGGTTGCCTGCAAGTGGAGTCCACCACACCAGCTGCTCTCACAGTGCTGATGAGGTGAATGCAGTACAAAAGAGCTCAGTGTTACCCTTCTCATCTCAAGGTCCTCCTCCACCACCCCTGGCCAGCTGGGGTTGCTGCCCTTGTAATGATGAGCCAAAGTTCTTGATCCTCATGTCTGTAGCAGACTCCTGTTCACAGACTGCCATGATGTTGCCAGGCCACAGCTCACCTGTTCAGGCTTGGCATTGGCAGGGGCTCTATCCCAGCTTTGGTTCTGTATGAGCCGTGGTTCTCCGTATGTATGAGCCGTTTGGTTCAGCCGTGGTGGGATGTCCTCTGTTTTTTAGGGCCTTCTGCCAGATGCATGCTCCTCATGCGTGCTCTTCCTGCCATACTTGAGGAGACCTGGCTCCAGAAGAGGTGGTTGTAATCACCTCCTGGAACATGGGGTACCTGTCTCACAAGCCTTATCTCCTGCCTTCAAAATGCTCTTCATGTCCATAGGATTTTATACTAATCCAAGTTTTTGTGCATCTTAAATTTCTAGCATCTGTAGAGTGTAGCTTTACCAAACATTAAAAATAATTTTAACAGCCAGTTTTAACATGACCCTCCCATGCTTTCTTTTCCCTTCCGTTTGGGATCTGAGTTTTCCCTTCCTCTGGCTTGTACATGTTTAGCCCATTGTCTTATTCTTCTACAACCCTTTTATGTATGCTCTCAGACATGTTTTCTTCATTCTGTTTTCTTCATTTTCCATCTCTTGTCTCCCCAGTGGCCTCCAAACCCACCTCTAATCCACTGCCTTCTGCTTCAGATATTTGCACCTTCTGGTTGGCTCTGCTGTAATCTGGATGCCCTAGTGGCAGAAGGGAGGATATAGCTTAGAACTTCCTTCTCCATCAGTCTCATGACAGAAGCAAGGCATTTGCTTTTTCTCCCCAGCAGCAGAGGTATGTGGGATCTCACCCTGGTGGGGCTTGCCATCTCAAACACCACATTCATGTGCACAGAGCTAGCACTCATCTTAGAAGCCCTTCCAGTGCTGGGCCAGCATCCACAGATCTTACCTTAATGTCTTAACACTTCTTTAAGTGTTACCCTTGGTAAAGAATACTTTAGCAAAATGATTATTTTCACTACAGCTGGTGTTCAGTTTTCCAGACACTTGGTACTGTGTAGATTTATGTTTCAGACCACAACAGTTGTAAGTCAAACGTTGTGCTCCTCAGTGTAATTTCCTTTTGCTGTGATTTTATTTCTTCTGGGCCTTCTGGTAATCCTCTCTTAATATTTTCCACTGCAGCACTGCAAGGTCCGTGCTGGCACTGAAGGCTTTTACATCTGAAACACACCATCCTGCTGGCTGTAATTAGTGCTGACATGCACACACACAGACTGCTGCCAGGAAGCAGAAACACTGTCCTTTAGCTTTACTCATATGGAAAAGTCGGAGATTTGGGGTGGCTTTCTTGTTGTGCAGATGCCTTCAAACACTGGGAAGCAGGGAGCTGTGGCACTGCTCTTGGTTAAAGGACAAGCTCGTCTACCCAAGCATGTAGCTGTGCCCTTGACAGGTTACATTTCTGTTTGCAGTGTCACTTCCTATCATGCTTGCAGCGGAGGTAACTGTTTGCACTGTCATAACATCTCTTCTGCTGGTGCTTCCTGGCCTGCGACACTGCAGAAATTACCGCAGGGCGCATCGCCCCACTCTCCAGACTCTCACTTGAGGATGGCACACAGACAGTCATAAGGCCCCAAGCAGCACAAGCAGCTGTGGGGGCTGCCAGCCTCTGAGCTGCCTCCTGATTGCCTGCCCTGGCTTTCCTGCCTGAGTTCTTGGCCATAAGCGGCCTCATGCCTAGAGGACTGCAGCCTTGGAAGTGGGCATCACTGCAGAGCTTCCAACGGTCACTTGGGCTGGGCTGATGAACAGGTCCCTCTGGAAGAGGTCCTGAATCAGCTCCTTTTGAGAAGTCCTGAAAACCTGTGAAAGCTAGTAGGCACAATAGTTGTGAATAAAATGCCTTCTGTTAGATTTCAGATCATTTCAGGAATGAGTACAGAGAGATGGCTGCATGGTGCCCCTGATGTTGATGAAATTTCTTTCTTCTCTTGCAGTAAAAGCAAGGCTGCTTGATGCCGGCGAGAAACATGTGGCTGTCCAACATATTGCCTGAAATCCACAAAAGGAATCATTGGTACTGCTGATTTCAGGTGTCTTTTATTAATACTGAAAAGAAAAATTGAGCGTTTCCTTTGTACAATTTGTAATGCTCTGCTAATCTGTGTAATCTGCAGCTAATGTCCTTTTGTGCTGTGTCTGCAACAATTTCCCTGCTTTGTCATTTCCATCGCAATACGTAGGTGTTGTCTATTTTGCTTGTAAGGTCATCTTAGGCAGTTCTGGTTTGAAATATTTGTACTGCAAGCTTTCCCCAAACATGTGATAGTTTCTGTTGGCTGCTCTTCTTGTTTGGTTTCTTTTTATGTCCTTTATGGGAGGGGAAGTGGATGAGCTGGGAGGAAAGATGAAATGTCCTTTGTGTGCAGTTAGAGACAAGTATCATCCCCATACAGTGATGAGATGTACCCTCACCTTCAAATGCTTCTGCTCCAAGCTGCAACTCGTGTCTACATCCACCTCTACAGACATAGAGCTTTAAAAACATGCTGTGCTCTTACTTGTGCCATGAGCCCCCACTCTTAGTTAACCTTCAGGCATTTAAGGTCAGAAGGCACCATCTGAGCCATCAATTCTGCTGTACAAGTAAGGAGACTGGGTCATGAGAAAGGAGAAGTGAATGAATCTCATGAAGAGAGAAAGGAAATACCTCTAGACTCAGATAGATTCAGATGGGATTGCTGAGGACTACCAGAGTTCCCTCTTTGCGTTTCACTTCAGCTGAGATGGAGTTCCCCATTATTGCACTGAGTGTTAGGTCTGTGGGCAGCCAGGGAAACGTCAGCTGCAGACTTGATGTGATGAAGTGCAGAAGTCTAATGTAGCAAAGAGAAAGGATGAGGCTAGAGGGGAAGAGGTTAATGAGTAGAGAGGGACACAAACCTGCATGATATAAAAGCCTGGAGGATTTCAAGGGGCAGGCTAAACATGAACAGGAAGATGACAGAGCTGCATTTCTAGGTACCTGAGGGAAGGCAGGGAGTTGTGTTAGTTGTGGCTGTCACAGCTAACAGTTGCATTGAGGCACAAGCAACGATGTCTCCAGCAGCCAACAGGAAACATTTGACAGACCAGGAGATTAGAGAGGAGGTTACCATCAAGGTGAGAGAGGAGAAAGCGTGAGTTTGTGGATATTTATGCATAGCTGTGGTATTGCTATGTAAGCTGCAAGAGGAAACCCTTAACAACAGATTCCCAAAGCTTGCTATACGATGTCACTTCTGTCAGGGGAATAACACCAAGTAGGCTGCTGCAAGCAAATAATAAAACTACCTCATTTTATTAAGCTGAATCAATCCATGCTGGTTTTATGTCTTCCTATTGTCCTCTTTTTCTAACCAAAGCTACTTCATTAACTAAAGATACAATTACTCTGCATGATTCAATTGTCCTCGGTGTGGAATGGTCTCCTATGTTTGAGGTGTTCAACTGAAGGCTGAGTTGAATCCTCAAGCTTATCCAGTCTTGAAAATTTTAAGAGATGGGGCTGGTGGGATGGCTGCCCATCTGCTCCTCCCCAAACCCCAGGCAGGACCAACTGACAGATGTTTTTTGCACTCTCAGAGCACTGGGAACTCTACAGCTCTCCAGGCAACATACTGCAGTGCTTACTTATCCTTGCTTTTGGAAGGTATTTTTAGTGTAGCTCCTCTCCTCTAAATTAAGGCCGTTACTCTAGTACCCCAAATGGAGCTGGGACTGAAGTTACTCCCTTCCTGATTTATAAGATGACCACTGCTATGTCTTCCTCGCCTCTACACTTAGGTAGAGAAAAATCTTATCGACGTTCTTCTGGGTTTTGACTGTTCAGCCTTTCCCTTGGCACCTTTTCTGGACCACTACTACTATTGTTCTCCTTTCATCTTTCTGCTATAAGCTCACCATCTCCCTGAACCGCAGTGGCCAAAACTGCACAGTTCAAATGAAGTCTTCACAGCATAGACAACTGTGAAAGAATTATTTCCTGTTTCTTGCAGATTGAACTTCTGTTTGTACACCTCATTACAACACTTTCATTTTTTACTGCAGCGTGACCGTGCTCATTCATGTTGAGCTGTCATCCCTAGATCTTCTGCAGAACTGCCGCTGTGCCGGTTGTTTCCCAGCCGTCTTTTAGTACTTGATGACGCCTACGCAACTGCAGAGCTGTGTTTTGTCCCTGCTCAATGGCGTTTGTTTTCCCCAGCATTCCTCCAATTTGTCAAGATTGTTTTGCATTCTCATCCTGTTCTCCATGGTGTCCTGTGCTAATTTAATAAGTGTTCCCTACTCTCATTTCTTCAAAGATATTAATGAAAATACCGTACACAGTCAGACACAAAACAGATGGCTTCAGACTTCATTTGATACGTACTGCCAGTTTGACAGTGAAGCATTTATAACTGCTTTTAGTCTGGTTTTCCAACCAGCTGTACACTCCTCTAATAGCAGTTTCTTCTAAACCACGTTTCTTTACTTAGTTTATGAAAGTGTCAGGTGAGACAATAGCAAAAGCTTTACTAAAATCAAGATCTGAGACCTACTATGGAAGGAAATTAGATTGATCGGATATGATTTGTTTTTGTCAAATCAGTGCTTGCTGTTCCTCATCTGCTTGCTGTCATCAAGGTGCTGGAAAACAGTTTAACCAATTTCTACTTCCAGCATTTTCCAGGAATTGAAATTAAGCTGCTTGCTCTCTTGGGCACCTTTGAGTGGAGACCAAAGGAAGAAAGTAACAACCATTTGTGTCTTTGGTATCGTCACTGAGGAACTCCTCCTTGTGAAACTCAGGTCTTTCTTTGGCCCTCCTTTTACTTCAAGTACATAAACTTCACACCCACTGCTTGTTGCATCACCTGTATCTTTTTCATTTCATTCCTCCTCTTAGTAACATGACCTAGTTTGACTTTCTGTCTGCTTCCTCTGCACATCTGAAACTAATGAAGAGCTCATGTTTAATTACTTTGTACCTTGTGGGCCCCCTCTAGGACTTGTGCTAAGTTTCCCTGCTACCAAGGAGTTCACAAGTAGCTCTTTACTATTTCTTCTGTGATTGTGCCTTCCACACAACTTCCTTAGAGCACTGTTAACTCTTCAAATGTCCTTTCTGCCTCAGATTTGCCACTTGAAGGTCACTCTCACCCCAGCTGCCTTTCACCTTTGCCCACAGACCCAAGTATCCTGTATAAGTCAGAGTCAAATACTGCAGAGCATCTAGTCAGGAAGAAGCTAAATTAAAGAGATGACAGCTGTGGTCAGCTCAGGGAAGAGCACAGAAAGAGCACCAGCACAGAGCTAAACAGATATGCCCCACATATTTAGCACTTAGTTGTGTCAGGAAAAATTAATATTAACGCTCACAATTATCTGCCCCCATCTATGAACTTGTCATTAAATTCAGGAGGGTTGACTAACAGCGGTGGAAACATCGTTATTTGTGTAAAACTTGAGCAGTGCAAAACTTACCATTGCTGTTTGTCTGCTTTAAGACTTTCTGATGGTATCTATTACATCTTTGCACAATGAGGAGGCTTAGACTTTGCAAACATTTGGAAATTCTGTGTAAGAAGCATGCAGTTAGATCTTTCATTCAATTAAGCACTGACATTACAGAGTGTTTCCAATGATGGGGGTTCAGGCCTGCAAGAACAGCATCAAGAAGCTCTCACTGAGCCAGAGCTCACCATGTTCCATGCTCTTTAAGCACTGTTGAACAGGGCCTCGGCTTCTTAGCAGCCAACCAAGACACTCTACGCCTTCAGGACCAGCTTAATCTTTCCCAGTCAGCTTCTTCCAGTGCATGGTGTGCACTGTTCCTGGAAATATCTTACTCTAGCTGCATTAGTAGTAGAAAAGCTCTACCTAAATGTACCTTCCTGCTTAAAACTCCCATTTAGAAATTTGCTTTGGGAGCTGCTTGCCCTCTACTCCATAATGCCATCCATCCAAACCAATCCGAATCTTCCAGGCCAGGGCTGTGCCCATGCAATCTCCCTGTGCAGTCCAGGAAAAGCCTACCTGAGCAGTTTAATGCCAAGTTGGCTTTTGGCTGCCATTCATAGCTCAAACATGTTCTTGCAGAAGTCCCTTTACGTGCTGAGCGATTGGTCCGTGAGCACAGTCGGCACGGCAGCTAGTAACTCTGCTGTGAGTTATTTTAATGATGTTATTGATTTCATTAGCTCCATTTTGTTTTGCTTCATTACATCAACTCTTGGCGCCAGGGTTAAGTGGCAGCTAATTAATTCAGCATAAATGATGTTTCTTTATGGGGCAGCCAGGACCAAAGAGAACTCCTGAAGCTTCCAGGGATGTTTGCCCAGAAGCTGGGATGGTTTGTAAAGGAGTTGTTAACTTTGTTTTAACATCCCAAACAATCACATCAGTACAACTTTATAACTTACTCCTCTCTATGCATTTGATATCACCTCATGAGAAGAAAATGTTACAGATATAACAATAGCTGGTATTCTTGCAGACAATCCGATTTCTTTATCTAGAAGTTAGAGTTTGATATGTCACCCAATGATTGGCCTTTGAGTCATTCAAAGCTCATATAAAAAAGAAGAAAAACAAATGTACAGCCTGCTGTGGTAGAATCATAGTCTAACTGAGCATCCACGGCATCTGCTGGAGAACTCTCCAGATGGTGCCCTTGGAATTTGGGTCAGACTTTATAATGCTCCAAACAAGCTATGAAGAAAGCTGCAGGAAGATCTGAGAGACATCCCCATGAGGACATAGATGGGTAATTATTTATTTTTTAAGAACATACCTAGAGGCTTAGGCAACTGGCAGACTTAAGTTCACCAAACAGTATTTGGGTTAAAAAAAGTTACACTACTGGCAAGCAGAGAATCTCCTGAAAGTACAGTTCATCTTTCCTGAAGTAAAATCAAAAGTAGCAGCACCACCTCATCATGTCAAGCTTCCTAAAATAAAATACCTATTAAAAGTAATTCAGCTCAGGCAAAAACGTGTTGTAACTGATAGGCTTTCCATTGCCCATCTGAGAAGACTTGCTTGCTCAAAGCCTTGCACCTAGCTGTGGCCTGACTCAAGGCTCCTGTTGGCTTTGGTGAGAGCTGGTCAAAAGCAGTATGTTGGACCCCACTTGCCATGCACTTGGCACTTTTGTAGAAAGAGCTGAAAGGACAGCTCACCCCAGCTTGTGTCACAGCAGCAAAGATAATGTTTGCATCTGCAAGAGAAACTGCAGTGAACAACATGGTGCCAACAGTCTCCAAGTGAATGTAGCTGGTGTGCTTCTGTTTCACTGAACTTTTATCTACTGTATAATCATGAATGGGAGTCCCTGTGCAAAGTGGGTCTTCACCCCACTATTCGCATGCTATTTCTTTGTCTAATGGCAATGTGGCTGTTTCCTTTGCACCCTGAACAGTCCAGCTTTTCCTTCCTTCTTCCCTTCCTAGCTCCTTCCCTCTTCATTTCCATTCCATGTTTTAACAAGATGACCTATTGGATACCAGTATCTGGGTAAAGACTACCTCTTTGTGTCAAATCTTTTGCTTCATCACAACATCATAAAACCACCACTGGAAAATAAAACAACAAAGCAGAGGTGTATGAGGGGTTTCTCAAGTAAGTTATTTGTGTTGAGCACATGCACGGATACTTATTTTACTTTTTCTATCATAGATCAGCTAATGGATGTTTTCTTTAGTTGAAATATTGGAAAATAAAAATAAACTCAGGCATTCCTGAGATCTGTCCTGGGTGACACAGACAGGGTGAAGGTGGCATGTTAACCCACTACTTCTCATGGCACAGAAGCCTGGGGCTATCAGAGTGAAAGAGCAGGCTGTGCGGGCACCTCACCGTGGGTCATTTTTCTTGTCAATGTATAACCAGACTTAAAATGTGATTAGGGAAATTCCTGCATGAAAAGTCCTTCGGGACTCTTAACAACTAAGCACTTAGCTGGGACTGCACCACTGCCCAACTGCTCTTTGTGTCTGCGTTTTCCTAAGCCATCATCCTGGCCCTTCTCAGAGATGGGGCTGTGATGTGTCCTCCCAGCCACCTCTGCACACCTCGGTTCTCTGCCTTCCATCTTCTCCCTGCCTCCCATCTGGGCATTTCCACCCACTGCTCAGCTGCCCCGCCAGCAAACCACTCCAGAGTGAACTTTGTCCTCCTCCACCTGGCAGCAAACCTCGGTGGCATGAATTGTCACGGATCTTCTGCTTCCAATGGAAGGAAGGTTGTGAAGGATACGTCCCGCATTTTTTCCTGAATGATTTTTTGAGTTGGAAGGATCTCTTCAGTTATTTTTGTCAAAATGGGAGTGCATTTTCTCAATTTTTTTCTTTATTCCAGGAATTCAGTTCTTGTCCATGATGAGAAATGAGGTCAAAGAGCTGGCTTTATAGCATGCTGGAGAGAAAATAACTCCTACTTAATAAACAAATAAATGAACAGTCCCCACTGCTCAGTAGGGTGTGATACGAGTTCCAAATTTACACATAAAGCCTTTCAAACCATGGCATGACTTTGCTAGCACTGTTCAAAGCGAAAAGCAGGCATGGAAAAATCTAACTAACTGAAAATGCATTTGAAAACGCTTTCTTAAGGATAAGAATCATAAAATGCAAACTGGAATATAAACCCAATTTCACAATATTACACTGCAAATTGTTTTGATTTTGGAAGGATGCGGAGTGCAGGCTAAGATCAGCTGCCTGCATAAGCCATGTTATAATAAATCACATTGCATTTTTCATCCCCAGAACAATCTCCAGTGATATGCTACATTCTTTATTAAGAGTGTTCCGCAGCAATCAGAGCTGAAGGGAAGGAAGGAAATGGGTTGAAGAACATGGCAAGAATCCCTTAAAGTTAAGGGAGGGGAATGGGGAAAGTTATTTTAAAAGTACAGGTGGTTAGTGTAAATTATTGAGCTCTTGAAATGTTTTCCCTTGATAATTCTAATCACCTTGTGAAATCAGTCATTCATGCTTTTGCAAAACTCTTGATTTACTGGGAGCTTTAATCTATTAGTTGCAGCTCAGAGCCAACCGTGCATTCATCTCCGCAGGCAGAAAGAGCTGGGCTCAACCCTGCAGCAGAGCTCAGCACTACAGCTGCTGAGCATGCACCACCATAAAATGAATGGTGCCACCCTGAGAGGGATGCTGATACCTGGAGGCACCCTGACTTACTGCACCAGGGCTTGGGCCATGGAAACATTCCCTCAGACCCAGGGGTGTGGGGACCATGGGGCAGTGGCACACGAATGAAGGTGTTTCCCACTCCACGTTACATGAGATTTGTGGGATTGTTTGTGCCACAGAATGGTGCTATTGATATAGGTTGGCTTAGCAATAGGGATGAATGATTTTGGATGATACTTCACAGCTTCAGCCATGGTTCCTTCCAAGCAGAGACCTCTTCTTGCTGTTCTTTGGGCGTTTACTTACTTTTTTCTACTGTATTTGGGGATTTCTCTTGTCATCATTATCTAGGAATAGCTCCATTTTACTGTGGATGATGATGTTTGTTACCAAGCTGCTTGGGTGCACCAGTAAGATCAACTGGTGCTAGCTCAACTCTTACATAATTAGCAGACACAGTCAAATGTCACTCATCACAATGAATGCAAAGGTGATTTAGATAAATGAAGGTTAGGATAAACAGGTGATATTGTAGTGTGTTTAATGCATTAACATCTTAATAGCCATTAAATGATGTGACCTCATTTCTGCTAAATGAGCATTTAATAAACAAGTTTTGACTGTGGTGTCATTGTGCAAAGGTCTCCGTGAGAACTTTGAGCAGAAAGACAACATCTTTGTGACTGAACAACACTGTGCACAGTGGGGATTGCACTGGATGTGATAGAAGAGAAGACAAGGTCTCACGTCTGGAGGCTGCCTAAAAGCACGAGAGACTGAGCAGACATGCAGGATCCCTGCTCTACCTGGATGTCCTGCTGCCAGCTGCCACAGCTGGTTGTAAAATGTTCCTCATCTCTTTCTTTTCTATTTTCCCCTTTTTCTTTTATTTTGCCTCTTTTTCTTCCTTTGTTGTTGTTGTTGCTGTTGTTGTTTTTGTTTTGTTTTTCTTCTTTTCTTAGTTGGATTGCCTGGGGACTTGCCAGAAACTTGGGACCAGACTTTTTTGCTGGGAGTCTTGTCTTGGGAATTAGTGGAATTTGCTCTTCAATGCTCTATATTAGAACTATTCAGGCTGCTTGAATCCTAATTCAGCTATTAACACTAGTTTAGGTAAAAGCACAGTGGGCTTGTTGTGGTAGCTTTGTGCCTTTTTTATGAAACAAGTTTGGCAGATCCATAGAGTGAAGGGTTTCCCTTTTTCCCTTTCATCATCCTGTGTATTGGGAGATCCCTTCCTTTGCTTGGAGTGCCCAAGTGCTGTCCTTTCAAGACACAAGGATGACAGTAAGGCAGTGGGATAGGTGGCAGAACTGGGCCCACCTCTCACCCCACGTACCTCTCCACCTGCACCAAGTTCCCCTTGTGGCAGCTGTGAGGTTCAGTTCAACAGAGAGACTGTCCTCAACATTATTAAGCATGAGAACAATGCCAGCTGAGCCTGAAGAGTGGGCAGTGACGCCTGGGCAGACTGTTTCCTCCCAGCCCCAGCACATGTTGCGCAGAAGATGCTCTCCTGCACAACTTTCATGAGCTCTCAAAGAGGCATTGACTTCTTTTTTTTGAATCTTAGCAATGTAGCTGCAGATGTAAAACACAACAGACATTTAGAAACTGTATGACTTTCCCTAATTGTCTGCAACAGTTTCAAGATAAGTCATTTTTAAAAGAATTGCTTTGAACAGAGATGACTTTAAAACAGACTTCCGTACTTCTTGTTTTTGCTTTTGCCTTGGCACAGATGCTTACCCTCTCTCTACCTCCTTTGTAGAGTTAATTATGCAAAGGCGAAGAAGCTATAGTAACATTGTAATTTTGTTTGGCAAGGTGAGCCGCAAAACATATGCTGTGTCATGCCTTTTTATTACTGTGCAAGAATTGCCAAAGAAGCCTAAGGAGGAATCAAGGACATCATCGTTGCGAGGAAAAGAGGAAACAGCCCAGTTTTACAACACCGAGGCTTGTAACCGCTTGCGGTAGATAGTTTCAGAACTGGTTTAATTTTAAATTATTCTTTTGCCAACTGACAGCAGCTTCAAAGCGACTTTTGTTTGATTCCACCACTTTCTGATCCCCACTGAGTCATTTTACAATGTCCTGCCAACCAAAGTCCAACCGATGCAGGCAGCAGCACAGCAGCATCCGCTCTGTTCTCTGCATGGGAAGATGGCATCACCAAAGGTGGCTCTAGCCAGAAAAGCACTGGTCTCCTGTGCCCACACTGGCTGCTCGATGTGCTGCTATTATCCCAAGGGGTGTTTTCAGTTGGAGAGGATCAAGGAACCCATTTGGGTTTAAAATAAAGAGGCTGAAAGATAAGATTACATTCAACTTGGTCTCTTTCCAGGACACCGGTTTCCTGAGGAGCTGGAGAGATACAGAAGAAATGTGGGTTTTGGTATATGACAAATTCACACTGCGACTTCTCCCAAGTGCTTTTGTTTGCGATGCCTTGGAGCTCGTGCAAAACTACAGAAAAGGCCACAGAGGGGGAGCTTAGCAGAAAGAAGCCTGGTTTCTCCACCAGAGATGAATCATGCTGAAACACAAAGCTAGCCTCTTCCTTATTGGAAGCTGGGATATTGCTTCTGCTGTGCAGAGAGGATCCCACAGCAGCAGCCTCCAGGCAATGGGACACACTTCTGGAGTCGTTATCATCTGCCATCAAACACAGCCCCAGGCCCAAGGAGGGGCTTTAATGAGCAGGGAAAACACCACAGAAGAACTGGAAATGTTCCCCCCCAGGTCAGTTTGCTCACCATTAGTGTTTTCTTACCTCCTCTGCTGTAGGCAAATGCGTTTTCTGTATGTAAGAATTTGTAGAACTGATAACCAACTTCACAGGGATAGGAAAGGGCAAGAATGCTTTCAAGAAGCCTCAGGTTTCCTTACACATCTCTGAAAGACAGTCCACAGTGCAACACAGCCACCAATAGCAGAGGCTTACTAATGATGACAGTGCCTGCAAAGAGCAGAAATGCAGAAAGTGATGGAAAGGTTTGTAACAGGGGCTTTGAGAGGGAGAGCACTGCATCACCAGCATTTCAGGAATAAGAGGCTGATCTGCTCACAGACACAGGCTAACACTCACTGTCCCATCTCGTGCTGCTTTCCGCCCCACATATAAAGGATATCCAGTGCAATGCAGTGACACCAAACATGTCCTTTCAAAGGACTTGAGATATGGTAGTGGTAGAGATTTGGGAAAAAGCAGCTACTGCAGAAACCTGCAATTTGTATTTCATATCCTATTGCATGTGACAATTCAGTTCTTTTGGGAAACTCCATTCTCCTGTCAAAAATAAGCCAGCAATGTGGAAAGAGTGAGATAAGCTGTTTGTTCAAGCAGTCACACCTCACATCCTCAGAGACATAGGCTGGTCACAGCAGTCACAATTTTGGCAGTGTCCAACACAAGCTCAGCCCCACTGCTATGGCAGCTCCAGGATAATTATACCTCTAGGGGCATCGCAAATGTGCCAGCACACGTGGCAGGCCAGCCTTCAGCCTTGTAGCTTAGGATGGCAACAGCCTTCAGCCCAGATCAGCTCATTGCTTAAGGGAAAGAAGCGCTGGAAGCCACTTCTGAGCTCATCCCAGCAGAGCACCATTGCCACAGCACTTATCTGCGGTTATCTGTAGTTGCAGGTGACCTGACATGAGACTTACTTGCACTCACACACTTTAAATTCGAGGCAGGCATAAAACATGAGACAGTACATGTTGCTCATGTAGGGAAATGCCTTCATTAATATTCAACCCTGAGGACTAGCCTAAGGTAGAGAGTTTTTTGGAGCAGTGTGCTGCGTGCAAGACATTTAAAATCCAGACGCTCCTCTAACACTTGAAATGCTCATAGAAGAACTGATGCACCCCAAACCAGGTCTTCTCAGGAGCTCCATTTCCTCTGAGCTGTCCGTGCAACAGACTTACCTTGTATGGGTGGAAATACTCTTGATCTCTGATGATCAAAGGACAGTCTAATGTGCCTGCCAGAGAGAAAGAGCAAGCAAAACCTCAAGAAGCTGCAGGATGTGTGAGACTCATGTCTCCCTATCTACATGCTCCTTTGCACCAAGCCAGTGGTATAAAAAGTGGATATCCATACTCCTTTTGCCTCAGAAGCACAATTTAGACGATACTTGAGTCTGTTGGTCACAGTGTGGGTAACTCTGAGGGGGATGAAACGATACATGCAGAGCCACTGGCTAAGGCCTAGTGGCCGAGGTACCCCACACAGGTCCGGCTGCCCTGCAGCAGCAGTGTGTCCCAGCAGCGTGGCAGGGCAGGTGCTGGGGCAGGAGCTCCTTCCACCATGCTAAGATGTCTCTGAGTGAGTCACCGCACTGCCATCTGAAATACTGGGTCAGGTGCTCTAGTTTAAACCCCAGATGACGGTAGGTGAGCAGACAGGCGAGCACACCCCTTCAGTAACAAACCCGTGGGAGGCTGGAAGGTACCTGAGGCCAGGGCAGGTGCTTGCTGAGTGAGTGTGTCAGCGCTCTGAGGCTGGTGGGAACCATTCCTCTTGGCATTCGCATTGCTCTGGAAATGAGTTACACTGGCGCTGAAGAGCTAGAAACTTTCACATTGACATATATTTTAATAGCCAATTAGACTAAAATAGTCTTGGTGTAAGTGAAAACTAGACAGTGGCAGTACCCAGGATAAAACTAATTGAGATTATTTGTGAATTCCCAGTTACATTTCTATTGGAAGAGCCAAAATGATGTACAATGTGTTTATTCTGGCTCTAGATGTTTTGTTGTTGTTGTTTTGCTGGCATTAAACCACCTGTTGGAAGACAGACCTTGCCTTATCCTACATAAAGACAGCCAGTACAGTGCTGACTCATCACCAGTGTTTGATTAAATGGAAGTTTACTATCATATGGATCAGCACTTTGCACCGGGAAGCCCCGGTGTTTGCTATCCTTCCTTGGAAGTCATAAAGCCAGGCCTTTTTCTTCCATCAGCAGCCCACATGTGCAGGGCTCTAACTGAAATGGTTTAACACCGGCCCTTTTATTACACCAGCGCAACTCCTTCCCACACGTTGGCCCTTCACTTGATGTTACTCATTGCTTTTTGTTTACACATAGGAATTTTATTTGATGCATAAGCAGATAAGTACTGCATCTGCTCAGTCGTATTTCCCTAACACCTCTCCTTTTGTTCTTTTTGCTTTTTATCTTCTGGGTTTTCTTCGTTAAGGATCCTTGCCCTCACCCATCCACTGTCCCCTTACTTCCTTAGCTTCACTCTGCCCACCTCTGCTTCTGCAGTAGAGGAAGCTTGCTTGATAGCATTATGCAATGCCTTTACTATTTGGTGATGTTAATGCTCTCACTCTGAATCAATTTCCTCTTTGTTTGCCTGTGATGGAAAGCTCCGTGAAATTTGCAACGGTTTTGCTGAAATGAGAAAAGGGAAGGACGAGATCTGCAGCCAGGCACTCTGCAGCCCCTCCCAGCTCTCCAGTGCTCAGGGTAGGGGCGCAGACTGAGTCACTCCACCCTGCACCAGCAAACACCCGTGGAGGCACAAAAGGGCTGCTGACAGCAGGCAGCATGCAGCCAGCTTGGATTAAAGGCCACCTCTGGGAAGAGGGGCTCGTGCCCAGAGAGCCTTGGCTCTTCTGGATGACTCAGCCTGATTTGCCCCACTCAGGCGGAGGCCAGACCATCCTCAGTTTGCCTGGGAGCTCCTGCCCCCCTGAGCAGCTCTGGTTGGAGGACTGGTGCCCCCAATAGCTCTAGGGTGAAGAGAAGCAGTTGGAGGCAGGCTGGAGAGCCCTGCTTCTGCCTCCCCACTGGAAACTGTACTTTCTTGCTTGCTCACGTGCACACTCGGATTGTGCACTTGAGAAGACGATAGGCAGGAATATTTACATTCCTTGCCATGGATATGAAGCTGAATTCCACCCTCCGGTTGCAAGGTGAATCAGGTCAGAAACACTGTTTCAGAGAACAGAAATGCAGAGGTACGGCCGATCAGATGGGGTGCCGAGCCACCATGCAGCTGCACAACCTTTCCAGCAATTAATCCAGCAGAAAGCAAGGGAAGGATCGCAAGCTCAGTGCTAACCAGGGGTTTTGGCACTTTGCTGGGAAGGCTCACCTGGCAAAGCTGCTCCCTGAGGTCCGCAAGTCTGCTGAGCAGATACCCCAGCACCCTGTGGCAAAGCTCCTTTGCTGGGGGAACAAGGCTTACTTCTGTGAACTACTGCTGAGAATGTATGCTCAGAGCACACAGCATGTGTGCAGGAAGGAATGACGCAGCTGTACCTTCACACCTTTCAGCACTCGCTTACAAAAAGGCAGAAAGATGTGTTTAAATTCCCTTTTCTTCTTCCCTTGTTTGGCTAGACAAGTCCCAGGCCATATCTGGATAGCACCAGCTAGACTGTATGTCTGGCCACTGCATCCCACTCATTTTTAAGGAAAAATAAGCCCCACACTGGAGAGTCTGCTCACAGATCAGGCAGTTCTCTGCTGGACTGGGCTGCTTGGAGCCTATGCTCTCCACATCTGAAACCAGACAACCCCAGGAGCAAAGCTCCACGTTTCCAGTCACTGATTCACAGCCTCTGGCAGTTCCTGCAGGATGGCTGAAAACAGTGCCATGGGGCTAGCAGCTTGCCCCACAGCCAGCGCATCCCAACCGCATCTGCCTTGGACCCGGAGAAGGAACCCTATAATCCCTGTGTGGTCCTTCAGCATCACCTAGCATTTCCATCCCAAACACTGTGTCTTCCTTCTCCTTCCTGCTCCTTAATGCAGCCACTCATATGGAAAATGAATCAGCCTTCCTTGGGCACGTTTCCAGAGGCCCCTCTGACTAATTCTGCCCAAAACAGCCAGGCTGACCCTGTGCAACGGTGTGATCATGGCAGACAGGACTGGGTCACGTTTGGGTGGAGGAAGGGAAAAACTGTTTCGCAGGCCTGCCCAAAAATCCTCATGCTGACTCTGCCAAAACCACACCAAACATATGGTAAATGAAATAGCTGGCATGGAGCTGCTTTGGACAGCAGAAGTGTTTCAGCACTGTGGACTGCTCTTTAGCTGTCTTGAATGTTATTTACCCTGTTTAAGCATCTCCACATTTAAGGGAGAGAAGGCAAAGAAAAGGGCAGTGCCAATTTTTTGTGCATTTGATGCTTTTAAAATGCACATTATTTTTATAATCATGTTAGCACAGTCCCAATGCTTGTCCTGTCCTGTGAGAACAGTAATGGCATTGCAGATGGTTTCCCCTCCTTGTGTAGCAACGGACTTCTGTGGAAAAGCACACAGAAGCATTTTCTCTCTCAAAACAGGAGCTGTGCCTAATTCACCATATAAATGTCCTGCACATTTCATGGAGCTGATGAAATCATGTACAGATGGAATTCCTCTTAACAAAGGCTTTATTCACAGAGCAGGTTTCTCTGCCATGTATCTTTGACTGTATTCCAGCTTATACAGCTATTCCCACTGAATATATCCATAGAGCCAGACCATTTTCTGGGCAGATACCAAAGGTGGAGGTGCTCAGCTCCCAACACTGCACTGTGGCTTCATTACAAGTCTGAGGCTGAAGTCATGCCAACGAGCACTCCTTTCCTCACTTTGTGTTGTTCACCTGGACTCAAGCACCCAATGCCATTTCCAGGGTTTGTCAGGTACTTTGGAAAAAACACTGTAGAACAACAAGAACCTGAGAAAGAGCATCCAAAGAACCCAGAGTTCGTCAGTCATTTGGGAGATGGCCACAGGAATGGAGTTGTGGTGGCTACAGCTACAGAAGAAAGATGAAAATAAAGCAGCCAAATGGTGATGATCATGAAAAAAAAAAAAAAAAAAAAGTTACTTTTCTGGAGATCGAGGTATGGTTTTTTTCCTTGGAGCTGCAGTGGTGGAGTGCCAGCAGGAGAGCTCACCTCCTCACCCAGCAGCTGGCAGGCTACTGGGCAGCTTTCCACCTTTCTCTTGAATATTGTGGCTTGGGTTTTAACCCTTCTCCAGCCCTAACTCAACCCCCGTAGCTTCTCCCATTTGTCCATAAGCCACGGTGTCCTGACACTATTGCAGTGATGAGGGCCTTGTGTAAAAGAAGGCAGGGGCTGCTGGCCTGCTCACATGTACACCTTTCCAGGGCTGAGCGCACCGATCCCCAAATCCTTTGTTCATGCAACCTGATGCAGACAAGGAAAATAGCAGGCTGATGTATGCTGCAGAGCAAACTTCTTGGCACAGTCCAGCAGGATTCTTTCACGAACCCTTCTCCCTGCCTTTCTTTTTTGCCCTTTGTTCAGCGCTCAGTCAGTAACCCCTTAGAAACAACTCGCAAACTGCCCACGCTGAAAGCGAGAACAGCAACAACAAAAGGAATGATATAGAGGGATGACTTCAGAGAGTTTGGAAATATCTTCTCAAATGAAACATTCCTTTGCACACATACACAAGAAAGCATCAAAATTCTCTGCGGCTGATGTAAACAGCAGAAAGAAAAAGTCATCTGGAAGGACAGGATGATTCATACCAAGGACCTGGCTGGCAATATTCATCAGTGTTGAAATCCTCTCTGCAAGATGACTACATGCGAAAGCAAAACCAACGAGATCCCAGCTTTTGCCACGAGAAGCGTCATTAATGGCAGAGCAGCATGGTTAGGCTCCTAATGCCACAACCCTTGCTCATGGGAGTTACCCTTGCTCACTCATCTGACCGGTGGCAGCAAAAAGCCCTGTGTCACCCAGGTGAGAATGCTTTACGTAAGGGCAGCCACAGCAGCAGGCTGGAGCACGCTCAGCTGTTGCAACCTGTTTTGCAGAAGGGGCTTTGGAGCAGGAACAGAAAGTTCACAGGCAAAAGACAAGGGATTTTCTCCATCTTGCCAAAACTCCTTGCTAGGGCTTCCTCTCAGAAATCTCTGATTTGAACACTTTAGGGAGACTGGAAAGTTCAGCCAATCTTTCCCTTTATGTTAATTGTGTTGATCCAAAGGGGAACGGGGCACAAAAGGCCACGCTGACTTTATGCATTGTTATGAGATACTTTCCCCTGCATATCTGAATCTGTTTACTTAATCTTCCAGGCCTTTACCCATGAATATTAAACTGCTTGATCACTATGCATTAGGAGTCATCTTTGCACCATCTGTTTGTATTTGTCATCTAACCCTTGTAAATAATAAAATGTACTTTGTTCTCAAGTTCGTGGATCCTAGCAGGAGAGTGATTACCACGGAGGAAAAGTACTGTGTGAAGCTATTAGCAGCCACAGGACTCTGCTTAACTCCCAGTCTCCTGTCTGCCCTCTGTGAGACAAATGTACCAAGTCACAGGTTCCCATTGTTCTCCATATCAGTCTATTTCTGCTGCCAAGGCATTCACCACTATTACAGTCATTAAACTAAATCCAAAACCTACCCCAAAGAGTGACTGTTAGCCTCCTTAGTTTCCTTGTCCCAGAAGAGATGATTTCAGATTCACATCTCTGAAAACGATGCAGAAAGCCTTGCTTATGTGTGTAAAAAAAGCTCACAGCAGAAGAAGAGGCAAGTCGCATCCCTGGATGCCAGCATTCAGCTGAGAGGTTCAACTGAGAGGTTCAGGTCACAAGATGCCAGGCAAACACCAAGGGAAAAATGCAGAAAGTGCAGTCTCTACAATATAAAATTAATCCTCAGAGTTCTGACTGAAAATGTTACGCAGCAGGAAGAGCCGTGCCGCGTATTACTGAGGTTCAGCTTCAACTTCACCAACTGAGACAAGTAGGTTTCACCAGGGAGAGAGGCCCATAGCTGCAGGTGCCTGTGGAAAGCCACGGCCGCTGGCAGGCACGCCTCACACACCAGCATCTCCTGCAGCTGGTGGGAGACGTGCCTGGCAGCAGGCTTATGTCCATTTACATCACCCAATAAGTTGCCTCTCCATGGTCTTGTAAGTGAACCTGGATGTCAGGCAACTATCACCAGTCCTCAGGCAGCTGCGGTCTATTTATAAACCTAATGGAGTTGATTAGAGAAGGGATCATTTAGGAAATTATAAGGGATCGTATTGTATCAACCTGACGTGATGGTAGCGCCAAATTTAGACAAGAAAATAGTTGCCAAGTATTTGCTTAACTGGAAGAGCTATCTGGGCTTGGACAAGATACTACTTGCCCCTCTGCTCAGCTTTGCAAACATCATGCACTAGGAGGTTACCTATTAAGTGATAGACAATAGATCTTTTTAATTGTTAGAGCGTTACGACCTTAGACTTTGCCCAGGTATTTAATAACACCATCTGCTGTCTAGCTCTGCAATACTATTATTTTTACATGAGGATTACTCTTCGTGCTTCACAAACAGCGTTGTAATAACAGAGCTAAATAAGAGCACAGCAGCGTGCTACTTACACCCTACTGTCCAAGTAAAACACACAGGAGGTGCAGCTCACCCCAAATTTCCAGACGTATTGTCTCCAACCTGGAAGTCTTGAAGTGCTGCAGGCCGAAGAGCTGTGGATCCAGTCTTGTGGGTTGTTCTCAGGAAAAGCTCTCGCCTTGCCTGAGAAAGGGCCAGGAGCGAAATCCATCCCTATGTAGGCTGTCTGCTCCTTGGCTGGCTCTGCTTTTCCCATTTTCTTCCCCAAAACAACAGCAGTGGTCTGCTGGCCATGAGCTAGGAGTCACTGTGCCTTTTGGCTTTTTTCTCATCAATAACACGCTCTTGCAGCACATGCATTTAGCTCCAAATATTCATATTTATCTGGTTTTATATATGTCTCTATAAAGGGTCCAAGGCAGACGATGATGTGACTTTTGGCATTTTCAGCTGAAGTGCATCTGTACCAATGCATACAGCATGGGAAGTAAGCAGGAGGAATTGGAAACCGTGATGCAATTGGAAAACTACGATCTTATTGCTATCATGGAAACACGGTGGGATGACTCACAAGAAGAACACCATGATTGAAGGCTGTAAAATTTTTAGAAGGGATAGGCAAAATAAAAGAAGTGGGGGAGTTGCCCTCTTCTTGTTAAGAAGTGGATAGACTGCAAAGAGCTGCCCCTGAGAAACAGTCAGGAACAGGTTAAGAGCCTGTGGGTTAAGATTAGGGACAGGACCAGTGAAGGGCATCTGGTGGTCATGGTCTACTCCAAGCTGCCTGATCAAGGGGATCTGTTGACAAGGCCTTCTTGCGTCAGCTCCAAGAAGCATTGTGCTGGATGGGAGATTTCAACCACTCGGATATCTCTGGGAAAACAACATTGTGAGCTGCAGATGACCCAGGAGACTCCTGGAGTCCACTGACAATAACTTTCTGATTTAGGTACTGGACAGACCAACAAGAGGTGAAGCACTGCTGGATCTGGTGCTTACCAACATGGAAGAGATTGTAAAAGAGGTTAAGATTGGAGGCAGCCTGGACTATAGCAATCATGCCCTGGTTGAATTCATGACCTTGGGGTCATGTGAGCCTGATAAAGAGTGGAGTCAGGACCCTGAACTTCAGAAGAGTCAGCTTCAGGCTGTTTAAGGAAGTGTTGGATGAGATGCCCAGGGAAATTGTCCTTAGGGACAAAGTAATAGGACCAAACTGGCAGCACTTTAAGGAGAGCACAAGAGCTCTCCATTCCCCAGAATAAGAAATGAGGCAGACAAGGCAGGAAACAAGCAAGCGTGGCTGAGCAAGGACTTGCTGGTCAGGATGAGGGGAAAAAAAAAAGAAAAAAAGGAAAAAAAAGGAAAAGGAAAAGCACTGGAAGTGGGGATGGGTGGCCTGAGAAGAATCTAGAAATGCTGTCCAGATGTGCAGGGATGGAGTCAGGAAATCCAAGGTGCAGATGGAAATGAACTTGGTAAGAGGATATGAAAAACAAGAAAGGATTCCATAGAGACACTGTACAGAAGAGAAAGGCAAAGGAGAGTGTATTCCCTCTGGTCAGTGAAAAGGAAGAGCTGGCCTCCTTGGACATGGAGAAGGCTGAGGTACTTAACGAGTTATTTACCTCAGTCTTCATGGTCTGTCAGGCTTCTCATGTCTCTTATGTCCCTGAACTTCTAAGTAGGCATCAGGGAAGCAAAATCACTCCCAGTGTAAGAGCAGATCGAGTCTGAGACCTCTTCATGTGGTAGAATATGTGGAAGTCTATGGGGCCAGATAACACATTCAGGGTTCTGAAGTAACTGGCTGATGTGGTTGCCAGGAGAAGTCCCTGGTGACTGGAAAAAGGGAAACATCACTCCCACATTCAAGAAAGACAAGAGAGAGGACCTGGGGAACTAAAGACTGGTGAGCCTCACCACTTTGCCTGGGAAGATCATGGAATGGATCCTCCTAGAAAAGATGTTAAGGCACATGTGAGATCACATGGTTTGATCTGAGACAGACAGCATGGCTTCTCCAAGGGCAGATTGTGCCTCACCAACCTGGTGCCTTTCTATGATGGAGTGACACCATCAGTGAACAAAGGAAGGGCAACTGATTTCATCTACCTTGATTTGTGCAAGGCCTTGGACATGGTCCCGCATCACATCCTTATCTCTAAATTGGAGAGAGACTTATTTGAAGGCTGGGCTATTAGGTGGACAAAGAATTGGTTGGATGGCTGTAGCCAGAGGGTCGTTGTTTACAGCTCTAAGTCCAAGGAAAGACTGGTCGCAAGTTGTGTCCCCATGGGTCCATCCTGGGGCTTGTCTTCAGCATTTTTATCAATGACATAGACAATGGGACTGAATGTACCCTCAGCAAGTTTGCCAATGATACCAAGCTGAGTGTTGCAATTGATGCAATAGAAGGGAGGGATGCCATCCAGAGGGACCTGGACATGCTCGAAAAGTGGGCACATGGGAATCTAACGAGGTTTAACAAGGCCGAGTGCACTTGGATTGAGGCAATGCCAGACACAAGTTCAGACAAGGAGTAGACTACTTGGGAACAGTTCTGTGGAGAAGGACTTAGGGATCCTGATGGACGAAAGACCACACATGAACCAGCAGTATATCCTGGTCTGCATCAAAAAAGGGGGAGGCAGCAGGGAGAGTGATGTCCTGCTCTGCTCTGCCCTTGTAAGGCTCCATGTAGACTACTATGCCTAGGCCTGGGGCCCCCAGCTCAGGAAAGATGTGAAGCTGTTGGAGCAGATCCAGAGGAGGGCCACGAGGATGATCAAACGGCTGAAGCACCTCTCCTATGAGAAAAGGTTGAGACTTTTTCAGCTTGGAGAACAAAAGGCTCCAGGAGGACCTCACCAAAACCTTCCAGTACTTGAAGGGAGCTTACAAGCAGGAATGTGACCAACTTTTTACATGGTCTCATAGTGACAGGACAAGGGAAAATGGCTTTAAACTAAAAGAGGGGAAATTTAAGTTAGATGTTAGAAATAATTTATTTTTTTTACTCGGGGTTGTGAGGCACTGGAACAGGTTTCTGAGAGAGGTTGTGGATGCCCCATCTCTGGGGGTATTCAAGGCCAGTCTGGACAGAGCCCTGGGCAGCCTGACCTGGTGGATGGCAGCTCTTCCCATAGCAAGGGGTTGAGACTAGATGGTCTTTACGGTCCTCTCCAACCTAAGCCATTTTATGAATCTGTGATACCCTCCAGCTCCATTCCTGCATAGAGCTCAGAAAAAGAGTGCTTTTCTTGGCTCTCTGCTGCAACAGAGGTCAAATATGAAACCGAACATATGAATGCAATTAGGAGAGTATGTAAAATATGGGGGCTGGCCGTCTTAATAGTGTCCGAAACATGCAAGTCTTGACATGCATTTAGTTAAAGAGGATTTTAAGTACTACAGGCTGCTGCGTGGTGAGTCTGGTTACAGCTGAAAAGAGCTTCTCGGTCTTCTGGCCATATTATTTTTCTGGCATTTCAGGTGTATAATTTTGATTCTGAAGCCCTAGTGTGCAGGAAAAAAAAAAAGAAAAAAAAAAAAAACAAACCCAAAAAACAAAAAACTCCCCTTTAGAAATAAGCAAAATCATCCTTTCAGTCCTGATTTGTAGTTTTGGAAGGAGATGAGAAAAAGCTCAGATTCCTCACATACCTGCCCTGTACCGATTCTGAAGCATAGACAATGGTATGGACAGTTAAACGTGCTATCCAGAGGTGAATGCAGCAGGTTGTGATTTTTCAATCACCTGTAAACAGAGAAAGTGGTACTGCCATACTTTATACAGTTGAGTGGGGATTCTTCTTGCTGCTTAACAAATGACAAAGGAATGTCTAAAATCTGTGCCAAATGTATTTCAAAGAATGTATCTCTGCCCTTTACCTACCATTTGCGTTTTCTTTTAAAACTTTCCAAGTGAAGTTGTAGACAACCCTCCTGCCAACTAAAAGTATGTGCAAGGATGCAGAAAGCTTCAGAGTATGTTTCCACACCCTGTTGACCTATTCATCAAAAACACATAACTCTTGGTATAGAACAAAATTCAGAAGGCACAGCCTTGTCTGCATCTGCTGACCCTTAGGCTAAAGGCAGTCCTGGTGCACATTCAGCTCAGCAGAGCTGCCCCAGCAGCAGTGTGCCCTCAGAGCTCCCCAGTGCCCTGAGGTTGGAGGTGCTGAGCAATATCAGGTTTACAGGTGTCCTCCTCCTGGCTGTCTTGAGAGCATTCTCTTTGGTGCATACCTACCCATGTGCAAAGTAAGAATCATGCACACAGTGACATGTTTTCACAGCCCCTTTCTTGGGTGGTGATTTGGCCTGATATTATGTAAGATTTAACAAAAGCTAGAGAAGACAACTATTTTGAGGAAGAATGTTAATTGAAGGCTGAGTCAAGCTGCAGCTAGTACAGAGATGTTTTTGAGAAGCTTGTACCCTTTTTCATTTGGTCTATATTTTTTTTCCATTTAATTACAATGTGTGCAGAACGGCATTTAAGAATAATAGTAACTGGCAAAGGGAAATGGATGATGAAGGCTGCTGTCCTCTTGCTCCTAAATCTTCAGCTCAAGCCCATGCCAGGCCCTTGCAACCTGGCAGCTGCCACCACCCGATGGCTGCTCAGGGTCTACATACAGCAGGGGAGCAGAGGGACAGAGCTGGCCTCTGCTCTCTGGTGATAACAACAGGACCTGAGGGAATGGCAGGGAGCTCCACGCTGCATGGAGATGAGCCAAGGAGAGGCGTGCAAGAGATGCTGGGCTGCCACTTCCCGAGGTGACACGCAGGCAGCAGGACCTCTGAACCAGCAGGGAGCGGCGGCCAGGCTGGCACAGACAGTGTTACTGCGGAGTGACACACCCGCAGCTCCCATTACAAAGATGACCAGCCTTGGTCTCTCATCCAGCCCCATTTGGGAGACTAAGTGATATGCAAGCCCCAACCTCTGGCAAGCTGTTTAATAATTATTATCCAGAGGAGGAGACCAAGGTTAATTGTCAGTTCCAGAATGGGCGTACCAGTTATTAATTTTGCTACAGTTCTTTTTATCACATATGAATTTGGCTGTGCTTCCTGGCAGGCAACTCCTTCTGGAGCTCAGCTGGGTGTTGGGGCATTAGGGATGCA